AACCAAGACCTCAGCCGCGCCAATCTAGGCCACTGTGAACATGTCAACAACTTTTATAAGTTAACATGGGTAAATACCGGCTCCTAGTGAATTCGCTTGGAGCCATGGCCGAATTTCGCCGTGACTACCAAATTCCTGGTGACATCCATCTCTCTCTAGCCGAGCTAGACACCACACCTTGGGGTAAATCGGGCTTCGTCCCTTTCATCGTGGTATCTATCATAGAAGCTGGGCTTCAGTTCCCCGTTCAACCCCTTGTATGCAAATTCCTCAGGCAGACAAGATTATGCCCAACCTAGCTATCCACCAATACATATAGAATAATAAACGGTAATGCCGAACTAAACTGTCGGCTCGGTCTCAACCTCGGATTGGTCGAGATATTCCACCAATATTCGCTCTGCCAAAACGATGACGGTTGGGTGTACTATTTAAGGGTAAGAAGAGGCCGAGAAAAAATTATAAAAAACATACCGGATAAAGACTTAAATGACGATGACTTCCTTTGGGTTTCGGGAAATTTTGAAAACCAGGAAGCCTAGCTACTGGGCTACAACATAAACTGGAATAAAGGAACTGCTGGTAAGAATACTCCGGTCAAAGTTTGCTTTGTTGTTCCAGCTTACTCACCGTGCTAACCCTTGTCTCTCTTTTGTGCAGACCTAAACCAGCTTAAATCACATTACCCATACGCCAACCAAGACGCTCTTCGTGCTGCACTCCGATACCGTCATCGTGGTTGGGCTGAGCTGCTTAACTTCGAACCGACCTACCGGTATAACGGAATGAGGAAGACCAGGGTGACTGACCTTCTCCTCGAACCATCACCTGAACTAGATCCTACTCTCCCCCAAATCAACTTGATCTCTCTAACAGAAGAACAAGAAATGGCAAAGAAGAGAGTCGTGCGAGCGCTTATCACTAAACAGGCTCCCTGGTGAAGCGCAAACCGGGCTAGAGTCATCTAGCCAACACTGCGAAACCGTGGTCGCCCTCCCAACTGCTAGGGCCTCCACATCTCGGTCGAGCAAGCGTGCACGAATTGCTTCAGCCGAGCCGCAACGCCTGGTTGATGAGGAGGACACCGTGCTTCCTGAGACCACAATGCCGAGCTGGAGCTTCGTAAGACAGCGCGATCAGCCGTAGCAGATACCAGCGCCAAGTCGGCCGAGCTGAATGAAGCCAAGCAAAGAATGACCAAGCTCGAATCTGAAACACACGGCTTACCAAGCTGGTCAACACGGCGGAGGCGGACAAGCAGAAGGCGCTAGCCAAAAGAAAAGACCGCTACTTACGCGAACTAACCAAGCTTGAAAAGAAGAAAGATGCTGAGATCACTGAGCTAAAAAAGCAAATGAAAGACGCTGAAGACCGTGGCTATAAGGAAGGGGAGGCCACCTATGTCTTGTAGTGTGAAGTTGCGAAGGATATCTTCTTCAAAAGTGGATGGAAAGCAGCCGTCACGAAGCTCGGTCAGGGACAAGAAATTGAGGTCTTCCAGAACCCTCCCCCTCATTTCATTCCGAGTTACATGGCGGACTATGCCAACGCCATTCAATAAAAATTTCTCTAAGAGGGGGAGGAGGAGGAAGGAACCCCTGATCCAGACAACGCCCGACCTACAATCAATGATCACGGTCTCCAGACAGCTTGGGTGAAGCTACCGGTCTCAAGTATGGTTGAGGGGCTCTTGTGACCAACCTACCCGCTGAAGCCGGCCTACCGAGTGGCGAAGCTTAGGTTGATTTGGATGCTAACTTGGACGACCTTTTCACTTAATTTTGTTTTTTCTTTTCTGTTATCAACGAAATTGTAACCAGGTTCAAGCCCTTCCCTTTGTTATGAACTTTTTGAAATGGAATGAAATCTGTTATTTTCCCAACTATTTGTTCGGTTATTGTATTACAATATTTTTGCACCATGCCAAGCCAGACTAATTTAGCTAGGCCTTACCTAATCTTGCCAACTTTTTTTGTTTTTAGCCGAGATAGTTATCCCGGTCCAAAAGCCTGGTATAATGTTGGTCATACTTGCCAACTGGCTTCAGCCTAGATCTTTATCTTGGCTGAAGAAGAGAACTAAATGTCGGTCAAAGCTGCCAACCTTCTTCAGCCTAGATCCTTATCTCGGTTGAAGATGAGAAATAAATGTTGTTCATACCTGCCAACTTTCTTCAGCCTAGATCCTTATCTCGGCTTAGTCTGAAGAGAGCTAAATGTTAATCAAACCTGCCAACCTTCTTCAGCCTAGATCCTTATCTCGGCTGAAGAAGAGAAAATGTTGGTCATACATGCTAACCTTCTTCAGCCTAGATCCTTATCTCGGCTGAAGAAAGCTAAATGTTGGTCAAACCTGCCAACCTTGTTCAGCCTAGATCCTTATCTGGGCTGAAGAAGAGAAAATTTTGGTCATACCTGCCAACCTTCTTCAGCCTAGATCCTTATCTCGGCTGAAGAGAGCTAAATGTTGGTCAAACCTGCCAACCTTCTTCAGCCTAGATCCTTATCTTAACTGAAGAAGAGAACTGAATATTGGCCAATCCTGCCAAACTTCTTGATTGCCCCTAGCTGGCAATGACTAAGAACAACTTTTACAGTAGAAAGAATTATGCTGAAAAGACTACTTGTTTTATTTGAAAAAGGAAAGTTTACAAGTATTAAGTGGACTTACTATCAAATATGTCTTATGATAATTAATAACGTTTTTCATCAAAAACTATTAAAAAAATGTCACTAATTGTTAATTTTCTTGTGTCACAAAAAATATCACTAATTATAATCTTTAGCAACAGTTTAAAAAAATCGTTTGAACTTTCTGCGATGGTTAAATTGTGATTAAAAAAAATCACTAATTGTCAATTTTTGCGACATATGTAAAAAATTGTCACAATCATTTTTAGCGACGATTTTACTAGGACTAATTTTCAATAGGATTTAATGAGAATTAAGTCTAACTATTAAGACCTATTGATAGTTTATCCTAAGACTAATTACACCGATGTCTCTAAAGTATACACTTTGTTGCACTTTAATCTCCAATTTTTTATGCTTGTCAACTTGATCTCCAAACTACAAAATCCAAGTTTAAATGGTTTCCGATGTTCACGCTGTCTAAATTGATTAATTGGAGCTGAGTATTTTCAGAATAATACATATCAAATATAATAAAATTAAAAGGTTGGGGACTTTGCAATAATGTGTATACTTTTGGGATGTTTGTGTTGTTGGCCATTTTAATTTTGTTGAGATTTCATGTCAAATTTCAAATATTCTTATTCCTGTTAATCAATTTGGATGGTGGAAGCACTATAGACAAACTTCAGTATAACTCAAATGGTTGTCGTGCCTCCAGATTTTTATAAAGAAATTCGGGGTTCGAGTTTATGAAGAAGTGTTGAATGTATGGTTGCGATAATTTAATTTACTAACATACTAATATCTTACTTAATGGGAAGAAGAAAAAAAGTACTAGGAGCCATTTTAAACTCACATTTTATACTTTGAAAACTAAATTGACAAAATTCAAAAAATTAAGCTATGTTATATGGATTGCTTAAAATTAGTCAACTACTCGTGTGAGATACCTTACACTTGGATAGGAATATGAAGTATGCATCCAATACTTTTTATTAGATACTTTTTAAAATATATATATTTGTATTTGACAATATTATTATGTGTGTAAATTATTGTATAATTGTTTTATAATAAGTAAAATGCCTTGGTAAGAGAAACTTTCCTAACAAGCCCAGTAAGGTAGTATTAGTAATTTCCCGTAAGGAGGATAAGAAATTCAGAAGTTATCATAAACTAAAAAAATGGCCAAACAAACAATGGAGTAGGACAACTTCGACCTACATATTTTTCTCACCTAATTTCCTTCTATTGCAGGAATTATTTAGTAGGTCTTGAATATTACATGTTGGTGTGCCTGTCTAATAATATTTTATAACTTATCCACTATTTTCTTATTTTTAAGGTCATGTATTCATATAATTTATGTTATTCGTCAAAGCATATTACCAATACAAAATTTTTGGAAGACAATAACTGATTCTTCTAATGTCTCGTCCTCTAAGCAAGTACTAATTCATCCTTCTAATGTGTCTTCTAAAATAAGTGCACAAATATTTTTCTGTATTTTTATGTATCAGATTTTTTTTTTTTTTTAAAATTAAAAAGTTATAAATACATATAATGGGTATAAAAAGAATTTAAAGCGAATATTCACAACCTCATTTTAATTCGGTTATCAAACGTGATCATAGAGCACACCTATCGTGATTAAGACTTGTTTGGCAATTGTTTTTCTAGTAATAATTTTGTTGATTTTTTTTTGGGTAAACTTAAAAAAAAAAAAAAATTCCAAAAAAACTTTTCACTTATATGTCTTACTAGACTAAAAGGTCCTACATAAATAAATAAATAAATAAATTTGAAAAAAGTCTACTAAATGGCCAAAAAAAAAAGGTATTTTATTTTATTTATTAATTTTTTATTTAAAAATTTACTTTTTAAGTTCTTTTAAACTAGAAGGATTTGAAAGAAAAAAAAGTATACAAATTTTTTTAAGAAAAACTGAACTTAAAAGTGTTAGGAAAAGATAATTTTTTAAAATTTTATTAATTAAATACACATAAGTGTGTCATGCAAAGGATAAATAAAATTAATAAAAAATGGGTTGAATTTTTCTTTTAAGTTCAAATATCCAATACAGTATTTGAAGCATGTGTTTTATAAGACCATTAATATATATCATTCATAAAAAATAAAAATAAAAATCAATTAGATAATCATTACATTTTTATTTTATCACATTTGTTTATAAAAGAAATAGACAACAAAAGAAATAGACAACTTGTATATTATTAAAAATAAAAAATAAAAAATTTGAATGACAAATGTGATGGGATGTATATGTTATGAATTATGAATATTTAACTTTTTCCATAAATGGCATACACACAAAAACATCTTATAAAATGAAACGAAATACCTGTTATTGTAGATCACAATTTCAATTTTGCACGGCTCTTGTCTCTGAAGAAGCTTTTAATTCCAAGTTCCAACCCACAGTTTTTTATTTTTTTTCGCCTTTCTTTTCTACTTACCAAGAGATTCTAAACTGCTTTTTCTGTATGAGTAGTGTGTCGGTTTTCATACAAATGGTTTTCAATGCAGCAGTCCTTACTGTCCTCAAAACCGGTGTTTGGTTGTCACTTATGAGCAACTTTCTCATAGTATTATCCGATGAAATTGAGATTGAAGAGAGTAATATTTACTGCTTGAAATCAATAAAGGATTCCTTGGAAGACCCTTTCAATTACTTAGGCTCTTCTTGGAATTTCAGCGACACGAGTAAGGGCTTCATCTGTAAATTTAAGGGAATAGAGTGCTGGAAGGATGATGAGAACAAGGTGTTAAATATCCGACTCTCAGGCTTGGGACTCAAGGGTCAATTTCCTCGAGGGTTCTCAAGCTGCACCGCCTTGACCGGTTTAGATCTTTCAGGGAACAATCTTTTCGGAATCATCCCTGATGATATTGGGCGAATCCTCCCATTTGTTACATATCTCGATCTTTCGGCCAACAGTTTCAGTGGTGAAATTCCGCCCGGTATTGCAAATCTTACTTATCTCAATATCCTAAAACTTGATGACAATCGGCTCACTGGACAAGTCCCACATGAGCTTGGCTTGCTGCTTCGCATGAAGTCTTTTAGTGTCGCTAACAATCTGTTGTCGGGGCCGGTGCCAGATTTTGGTAGAACCTCTGTTACAACAGCTGAGAGCTATGCAAATAATAAAGGACTTTGTGGGGGTCCTTTGAAGCGCTGCAAGGCTTCTGATGCTTACGATCATGCTTTCTTCTTAAATGGGTTCGCCGTTGGTTGTTCTGTTTCTACTGTTGTAGTTTTTGCTCTGACTATGTTTTGTTTGCCCTTTGATCCACTATTAAAGAAGATTATGAGTAGCAAGAAGAAGAAAAGAAACCAAAAGGTGGTTCAACGAAGACAATGGCACCCAACTACAATGAATAGAGTTGAGGATACCACGGTTGAACATCTCTCTCTCTGTCTCTCTCTCTTCATACATTTTGCATCGTTTCCTCCCTCCAATGTTCAGTTGTTCCTTGTTTGTTGTCAGTTATCCCTCTAATTAGAATTTTTGCTCTTTCTCAATTTCAAGTGGTGTAAGAAAAGCAAATGCAATTACAACATACCAAAGCCGCTGTATCTTATGTTCTTAATTATAATCTGAATAGGTATAATATATAACCTCCTATTATGGTAACAAGCAATGTTTGTCTATCACATATTGTTTATAAACAGGGTGATGGCATCTTCTTCTAGACTCAATTTCAAACACTTGGATTAATATATTTTTATTGTTTGCAGATCCAAATTAGAGTCTGTGTTCTTTCTCTCTGGACTCATTTTTAGACTATTCAGCCAATTACTTTTTTTTTTCCCTTGTAGTTGATACTATAATTTGGTTTACAGATTTCTAAATTGGAGAAGTTGGTTACTAGAATAAGCTTCACAGAACTCGTGAATGCTACTGAAAATTTTAGAGAAGACAACATCCTCGGGTTGGGAAAGACAGGGACAATGTACAAGGCAGTGTTCTCAAATGGTTCGTTCCTTGCCATCAAGAGGTTCTTCGACTCACAATTCTCTGAAGGACACTTTATGTCCGAGGTAATGACTCTAGGTAGATTGAGACACATTAATTTAGTACCTCTGTTTGGTTTCTGTTATGAAGGAAAGGAAAAACTGTTGGTTTACAAATATATGCCAAATGGTAACCTCTATGATTGGCTACACCTCCGGAATGCGAGCTCAAGACCATGAAATGGCCTGTGAGGGTTAAAATTGCTGTTGGGTTAGCAAGAGGATTGGCATGGCTTCACCACCATGACAGAAAATTCCGGGTATTCAATCAGAACATAAGCTCAAAATGTGTACTACTAGATAAGAATTTTGAGCCCAAGATCTCTAATTTTGGGGAGGCAAAGTTCATGAACTCGAATGATGCTGCTTTGGGTGGGAGTCCTTTCACGAATGAGGAATTGTTGGAGTTGGGTTTTGATTTGTTGGAGCTGGGTTTTGATAAGAAAGATGTATATAGCTTTGGAATTGTGCTTCTTGAGCTGCTTACAAGGAAGGAACATCGTATGGCAACCATTGCTGAAGCTTCTGCAAATTCTGATAGCAATTTGGTTGAATGGATCATCAATCTTGTAAGTACCTCTTTTAGTCTGCAAGATGTAGTTGATGACTCTCTGATCGGGTTGGGATTCGATGGTGAGATCTTTGAGTTCATCAATATTGCATGCAAATGCGTTCAATCAGTGCCAGAGCAGAGGCCAACAATGCTGGAAGTGTACCAAACAATGAGGGCCATTGGGGAGAAACATGGCATTGTGGACGATTCTGAGATGTAGAAAGAAACAGCCAGTGCTAGTGAGGGAGATGTTGAAATAATATGGTAGACGAAATATGCTAAACAAGCCAAATTCAATGGGAAACCTTGTTTTGATTTACTTAATTTTTAATGCAATATTATCATTATTATTAGGAGCACAACTTGATTACGTGTGAAGGAATCATTTGCTGGCCGTAAAACTCATATCAGCATTGTAGTTTTGAATTTTTTGTTTTTCCTTTTGTTAATTTGGTTCCCAAATTACACAATATGAATTTAAATGGTCCTAATAACACTGCTATCAAAGGCCGCATTTAGAAATTGACCTTTCAGTGGGTTTTATTTTTTATTATTCTTTATTAGGTAAAAAATTAATGTGTGACTTTTGTAGTTGTATAAAAAATTGTGAATTACTAAGATGTTTAACTTTTTTTTAGTATTGTCTTGACTTTTTGATTCTTTTTTATTTGTTTATGTTTTTTTTAAAAATTATTTCAGCTAAAAAATTAAATTGCCAAATGGGCCCTAAATTAATTAGGGGAGCTGAGGTATTTTCAGAACTTCACAAAAAAATAAATAAATAACTGAATTAATTTAAAATATTAGAAATCGAAATGTAACAAAGAGCATATGTTGAGAATCAAAATACTGTTGGGACATATTTCTTTATTGGAGTGTGAGACTCAATTGGTTTATCAAAAGAGTTTAGCTTGATTTAGGTATAATATATTTTAATATATTATATCTAATTTTTAGAAATCCAATCCAATTTGATTGCAACTAAGTTTTGATAAAAAAAATTCTAGATTCACAATATATGATTGGTATTATTTTTCCAAAAAAAAAGGGATGTATGGCTGCAACAAATTTGTTCAACCTTTTTTTTTCCGAAGTGGTGCGGCTGCTATAACATCAATTCAGTGGCTGTGCTTTGTTTCATGTGTTGCTTGGAATATTTCATTGGTAGCATTGTGTTAGTGGATCTTCGGTTGGCTGTTTTGGATTCTGTTGATTTGGTTTAATTATTTTGGATCTTTTACAATTTTATTTCGAAGATTTTAGTTCATTTATTTGGTGAGATCTTTTCCCTTATTTATTTGTGATTATTTGAAATTTACCTAAGGGTGGTTTTGTGAGACTATTCGTGTCTCGTTTGTAATCGTTTGGAAACTTTTTGGTTGATAGTGAATATCCCGTGGACGTACCCTCGAGGGAATCACGTAAAATTTTTTGTGTTGCTGTTGATTTAATTTTCCACATTCGCTTTTATTCCCATTGTTTAATTTACTTGTGGGAATCACATATTTTCCTTAATAAATACAACAAAGTATGTATTTTGAAAATCAATATGTATTTGATCATTTCAATTTTGTTGAGATCACTATTCTACATCATTTAAAAATTGACACATGTTTGATTATCTCCTACAATTCAAAAAATAAAATAAAATAATAAATAATAATAATAATATAGTGAATTCACTACTTTAGCTAATAAAAGTGAATTTGGCGAGTCAAAGAGCATGCCCATTGTTTTTGCTCAACATCATTCCCTAGCTCGACCCAAGTAGAACTTGTAAGCATCTCGGAAGTATCGACCGAGAGACCCAGAGCTTATTCCTGGTCCTGGACCCCCCCAATAAATTCTCCTGCTTGACCCGCTTAAGGCTAAGTTTGGCTTACACAAAATAATTCATCTTTTTATCTTTTTTCCATCACATCACTTCTCTACTTTTCTGCATATCTTTTCATAAAAAAATAAAAAGTACACTTATTTAGGTCATCTCAAACAACTCCTAAGTCTTCTTGGTCTAAGTAAATTTTAGACTCAGATTTCCATGCATTGAAAGCTGAAAGATCTACTATTGTCAATGGGTCTTGAGTCTTGACAAAAAGAAACAAAAGTGATGATATACAATACATAAGTTTCTGTTAGCAGATATTTTAATATTATAATGTTTCATAAGTTGTTTCTCTTTTCTTTTCTACCTAGTCTTCCCATTCCTATCCATTCCAAGACTTCCAAGGTAAGCCATCCAAGGTCTTGGTCAAGTCCACCAATTCTCATTCATCAAGAACCTTGCTTAAGAAGTTTTCATTTATATATATATTGAACTTAAGTCATATCTTAGAACATACGAGAGAAGAAGTTTTGGTTGTGTTGAGTGAGATTGTCAGGCAAATAAAACGGGTGTGTGTGACAAAGCTTTGGGTTCAACCAATTGTGCAGTATTGGTGAACCATACGACTTAGTCGGGCTGTTGTATCCTGGGGGGACAAGTCAAGGTTTTTTCTGCTGCACCGATGTGAGGCTTTGCCTAACCGCAGAGGGCTTGAATCTCCTTAAAGAGAGCGAATTTCCCGTGCCTCAACCTTTTCAATAATTATTGTAATTTCTATTTTCTAGTGTTTTATTTGTAATTATCACCAACAATTTTAAGGAGATTCAAATAACAAAAGTTCATGGAGCCAGTACTGGAGAAGCCCAACGAGAATACCGGCGATCTCAACAAGTCCTTCCGGTTCAAGGGAGCTCATTTTAAGAGATAGAAAGGCAAGGTGCTTTTCTACCTCAGTCTCCTCAAGGTGCCGTATATCCTGACCGAGAAAAATCCGAACAAAGTCCCCACTGAAGAGATGACCGACGAGGAGTATGTTGCTCACCTTGAAAAAATTAAAAAATACAACACAGATGAGTATAAATGTCGATACTATCTTTTAAATTGTCTTTCAGATCAATTTTATGATTATTATGATACTACTTACACCACTGCCAAGAAAATTTAGAACTGGGAAACTTTGCAGCAATATGACACTGAAGAGGCAGGCAACTAAAAAATAATGCTGAAAAGCCGTTTTTTCCGCCTATCAGATGATAGATGGAAAATCAGTGGTGGAGGCAGTTCAAGATTTTCAGATTTAGTAGCTGAAGTTAGATCTGAAGGCATCAAAATTGGAGACAATCTTGTTGTATGCGGGTATTGTTGACAACTCCAATCATCTTGGAGGAGTTCCAGAAGTCGATACGTCAACAAGCAAAAAGAGACGTCCTTGGAGACTCTAATACACGGATGTCGGGTGGAGGAAGAAGCATGAGGACAAGATGCGCTATGACACATAGAGCATTCCACGCAAAGGTAAATTTAACTTCTGGAAATACTTTACCTAAAGTCGATTTCATAAAATTGAGTCACTTGAATGCTAGTTAAGGAACATTTGAAAAATTACTGGAAAGGCCACAAAGATAAAAATTAACCGAGGCAAAAGAAATGGAACTAAGAACCCCTTATTCACAAAGATCTGACAATGTTGACATTTTTGTGGTGTGGCAAAAAGTGGCATATTGCTCGAACTTGCAAATTTTTGGAAACACAGTCTTCGACACAGCTTAATGTTACGAGGACATTTTTGGCTATGATCACAGATCTTTTTTATGGTTCATCTGTAGAAGGGTTGTGGGCAAGACTCTGGTGCCAATAGCATTCTGCTATGATAAAGATTGGTTCAAGAGATTTTCACTCCTTTTTAATGAGGAGAGGACTGTTTATACTTGGGTTGACTCCAGTTTAACCAAGGTGCTCGGGTGTGGAGATGTTGAGTTAATTTTTACCTCTGGACGGTGTGCTTGTTTAAAAGATGTGTTGTAGCACACCGTCCATAGGAAAAATTTGATGTAAGTTATTTGCCTCAACAAAGCTGGTTCAAAGCAGACTATTGAATTGACCAATATGTAATCACTAAAAAAGGCATGTTTGGTGGGAAAATGGTATTGCCTTTGATGAATCGTTTAAATTAAATGTTGAGATAAGAAAGCCACATTGTTCTGTTTACATGCTGTTTCTATGATTTTTGGCATGTTGTCTGTTGGTCATATTAATAGCCGATATTGTGGGAGTCATGAAGTAAGTTTAGGATTAATTCCAGATCTAACAACAAGTTTTGAGAATGTGAAGTTTTTGTAGTCAATGCAAAAATAACGTAAAGGCCTCATAAAGTGTGGTGGAAATACTGAATTTGTTAGAATTAATTCACACTGATTTATGTGAATTTGAAGAAATTTTAACACCGGTTGGAAATAGATATTTATCACTTTTATTGATGAGTTTTTCAAATACACTTATGTAATAGCTTGTTGAAAAATAAAGAGTGATGCTTTTGAAAAAATTTTAAAGAATTCTTTCTTTTGTAGGTGTTGAAATAAATTCGGTAAAAAGATTAAAAGGTATAAGAGTGAAAGGCCGGGAGTATTTGAATCTGTGCTAGTCACGTGTGCTTGCGAGGTGTGGGTGTGGATATTGAGTGCTGAGTGGGACGAGGCTCCACTCTGAGTTTCTAGCTGTTGGGGGTTGTTGCGAGTGCGTAGAGTGGGTGCGAGGGTGGGGTATATATTATAGATATATTGACTTTTAGATGGTCTGATTAGGTTGCTCAAGTGCGTGTATGCTGAGAGGTTTTGAGATTGTATGTGCGTGCGTGAGAGATGGGGTGTGGTATATGGCATTTTGAAGTCTGCGGTTGTGCGAGGTGGGAAGTGAGAGGTTCTGCATCTTAGAGAAGGAGCTGGAGATATTAGTACACCTTTTGGATGTTGTTGGTATTTGAGTGGCTTTAGAAGCTTTCAATTTTGTGTGAGTTTTTATATTTGTATGTGATTTGGTGTGGGGTTGTCTAGCTTTGTGTTAGACTATGGACCCTAAAGAAGGAACTCTTAAGTATTTTTAGTGTGTGGGAAGAGCTGTATTGACGGTGTGCTTTTTCTTTGGATATGCAGACAAATAGGGTTGGTGGTAGAGCAGGGGTGGGTGTGGGTTGCTGCTATAGGGTTGTTGATTTGGAGTGGAGAGATTGATTATAGGATGGAGAATGTTTGAATCAGGTGGATGTTAATTTTTTTCCATGGATAGTATAGAAATTGCCTGAGTTTGTGGAAATTAGTCTAAGAGATGGTCGGGGTGCGAAATGTAGTAGAGATAGATAGTGTTGTTATCTTGTGAATCTGATTTCCTCCTGAGTCTCTGCCTGTTTTATTGGTACAAATTAGCCAAGATTTTCTAGTTGGTTTGTTGAACGCTGAGGAAGGAGTGATGAGGGAAGAGCTGCAGATAGAAGAAGATTTTGACACCTTGAGTATCGATGTGTTAAGTGGGAGGGAAGAGGCGCCATTTACTTGTACAAGTTAGCTTGGCTGGATCTTCCGCTGAGC